TGCTGTGTCTTCCTCAGGGATGTGTTTTGGGTCTGTATCCTGGCCTTGTTTCTCCTGCTTTATCTTGCTTCTTTGCATGGACCGTGATGCTCTATTATCTCTGAGGCATTGTAATGTTTTTGTGTTTATATTTAGTTGGTGATTATATGTTGGAGTGACTTACCCACAGTTTTCATTTTCTTTGTTTTGCTTATGTTATCTATACAGGCAGGTACTGTGCTGTGCTACTCTATTCACTAATTGACAGCACTTATACACCCACCACCTGTCTCCTTTCCTGTTGTCAGCCTCTCATATGTCCTTGTTGGCGCTGGCAAATAGAGCCTGTTCTTAGGTCCCTGGAATCTAAATGAGTGTGCTATCACTTTAAAATCCAAAATGGTTGCCATTTGTAAACATTCAAAATGACTGTGCCCTTGGTCACTGTAAGTATCCAAAATGGCTGCCACGTGTAAACAATAAAAATGGCTGTGCCCTCCAGACAGCAGCAAGTCCACAGCTCAGGTTGTCTCCCTCCTTGCTGTTTCCCTTCCTAGTCATAGGCCACTAGAGCAGTTGTCCCTGCAGTCTTTGGTGACTGGGACTGATTTTTAGGTCAGTTCTCAGGTCTCAACACCACTTGGAAATATTCAGGCTGTCGGTCCCATCAGAGTAGCTGACAGTCTGCAGCTCCAACCATCTCTGTGGTCACTGTTTTTATTCAGGTTTTTCCACTCATTGGTGCCTAATCCACTTCTGTATAGTTCCTTTGAAAGCTCAGGGCTCCAGGATTATCTTCTGTATCTCTGTCAACTGGTTTTTCTTTTCTTTGTTTGGTTTTTCTTTTCTTTGTTCGATTTTTGTGTTTTTCGTGTTGAGGTGTAATGCATACAGAAGGCTGTAATCTTTGATCTTCATCAATAAGTGCTTGAAGTCCTCGTTTCTTTCAGGAAATAAGGTTGTGCCATCTGCATATCACAGTTGTTAATTGAGTCTTCCTCCAGTCCTGATACCATGTTCTTCTTCATATAGTCCAGATTCTCAGATTATTTGCTCAGCATACAGATTGAATAAGTATGGTGAAAGGATACAACCCTAACACACTCCCTTCTTGATTTTCAACCATGCAGTATCCCCTTGTTCTATTTGTATGATTGCCTCTTGGTCTATGTACAATTTCCTCATGAGTATAATTAAGTGATCTATAATTCCCATTCTTGGCAATGTTATCCATAATTTGCTATGATCCACACAGTTTGATGTCTTTGCATAGTCAGTAAAACACAGGTAAACATCTTTCTCATATTCTCTGCTTTCAGTCAAGATCCATCTGACATCAGCAATGATATCCTTTGTTCCACAGCCTCCTCTGAATCTGGCTTGAATTTCTGGCAGTTCCCTGTCTATGTACTGTTACAACCATTTTTAAAATTATTTCATATTGCCTATTAAAAGCAGAGAGGAGTTCTGGTGGTGTAGTGCCAAGGCATTTGATTGCTAACTGCCAGAAGGCTGGAGGTTCAAACCCACCAGCCATTCTTCAGAAGGAAGATTGGGCAATCTACTTCCGTAGAGATACCACCTCGGAAACCCAAGGTGGGATCTCTATGAATCATATCGACTTGACAGCAGTGAGATTAAAAGCGGAGACAGACACTTTAAAGTTCAGTTGGGGTGGATGTGACAGGTGCTGACCTTGAGAAGCCAACAAGGACATGAAACTGGCTCCAAGGCCACCTCTGTATGGAGAGTCACCCTTTTATAAACGAGAAAATAGAAGCTCTGAGAGATAAAATAACTTTCCAAAGACTACATAATGGTGGAACTGAGTTTTAAACTGAGGTCTTTTATATATTAATTTTATAACCAGCCACCCTACTGATTATTTTACCATTTGGAATGATGTTTCCATTATTTCTCTTGGGTTGCCAAGGAGCACCATCATAGGATCTGCAAATAATGATAATTTTCTTCCTTCTTCCCAATACTCATTTTCTTATCTAAGTGCATTAACTAATGCTCCAGAACAGCATTAAATGAACATAAACCCAGTTCTTTTGATTTCAAAGTCAGTGCTCTTCTCTACCCCACTCATTACCTCCCTTTTCAGAAGATTATCTTTTTTAAAAAAATTAGTTACCTCATTTGATGATCACACCAGTATGGAGAGTTAGGCTAGGGTTAGTCTTTCAAGTCAGCATATAAGGGAGCCATTAACTTGCCCAAGGTCAACTTATAAGTAAGTGGCAGAGTAGATCTGAATCTGGGCATTCTGACCCTTAGCTTCCCCAACATGTGACACGGTTCTCACCTTCTGTGACCTACAACTGAGGACAACCTGTTGCTGTCAAGTTGATTCCAATTCATTGAGACCCTATAGGACAAACTAAAACTGCCCATAGAGTTTCCAAGTCTGTAATCTTTATGGAAACAGATTGCCACATCTTTCTCTTGCAGAGTGGCTGGTGGGTTTAAACTGCCAACCTTTCACTTAGGAGCCAAGCGTTTAACCACTGTGCCAGCAGAGCTCCTTTCCCATCTTCTACCTGCTGAATATATCTTGTGCCCACCTCAGCCTTCTTTGCTGCTGAGGCTTAAGTAGGGATCTTTTCCACAGCATCCCCTCACTTGGCAAGAACCTCCTTCCCAACCTCCCTGGCTATTGGCAATCTCTGACCCCTGGAAAGATTTCAGGCTGGTGTTTTAAAAACTGGTTGCCAACCAATAGTTTAGCTCAATTAGTAAAGAAGTTCTGCATTGAGCACTGTGCTTTTTTTTTTTTTTTAAATTATGATTTGGGTGAAAATTTACAGAGCAAATTCATTTTCCACACAGCAGTTCATACACATTTTGTCTCATCACATTGACTGCAATTCCCCACAATGTAACAGCTCTCTTCCCACTTCCTCCCTGTAGTTACCTCTTCCCTATGTCCTTCTTTCCTGTGCATTCCTGCCCCTTGAGCTCTCTCCCTGTGCAACCACTGCCATTCTGTTCTCCCATGACCTGATATAAATGTTCATCCTATATGCCTGTCTATAGTTTGGCTGGAAGCCACAGGAGTGAGTTCAGTTCCAGATCTGAAGGATAACTAGGGGCCATAGTCTTGGGGGTCTCACCAGGCTCTATCAGACCAGTAAGTCTAGTCTTTTTTTTTTTTTTTTTTTTATTGTTTTTGAGTTTTGTCCCACATGTTCTCCGCTCTATCCAGGATCTCCTGCACTGATCCCTTTCCAAGGAGCGCTGTGCTCTTTTAAAAGAACTATCTACATAGGATAGAATTGACAAGAACTTGAAAAGTTAGAGGGGAAGCTTAGGGGGCAGCGAGTTCATGTTAATGATCGAGGAAAGGAGAATGAGAATAGTTGCACAACTTGAAGAATGTAATCGGTGTCACTGAATTGTGCATGTAGAAATTGCTGAATTGGTATATGTTCTACTGTGTATATTTTCAACAGCAACAACAACACATTTTAAAAAAGAAAAAAGAATGGTTGCAAGCCCTAGCTCTGCAACCCACCCTCATGGTGACAACCTAGAGCTCTCTCACTGTGAGGGCCAGATTTCTCACCTGTGAAATGAGGACCCCACCTCCTGATGCAGAGCCAAGGTGGGCAGGTGGTGTGGAAAGAGAGGAGACATGTGAAGGCTTTTCAAAGACACCTGTGGACTCCGCTGCTGTCTGCCTTCCTGCCCCTTGCTCCTTCATCACCTGCCTGTAGGCCCCCTCTCACTCACTGAGCTTCTCCTTGACAACTTTCCCACTGTGGCTAGGGAGTGGAGGGCAGGAGGAGAGGCACAAAAATGTCACCTCAGGCTTGGTGGGTTGGCCCTGCGGGAGCCATTAAGCAGCTCAGTCAGGCCTACAGACTCTACCACTACCCTGCAAACTTGTACAGACTTGCCTCACCCTACCCTTCCCACTGCAATCCCCAAGGCAGGCTTGGGGAGCCAGTCCTCTCACAGCTTCCACTCACTGACACAGGAACCAGCACTGTCTCACAGCCACAGTGACCTCTCTGCTCTGGTGCCAAGAGGCCCAGTATAGGCTGGGGATTTCCAGCACCAGCTCTGCAGAAGATAGAGCTGGGTTTGGATAGAGTCTTGCTTTTCACTCCCTCAGTGACCTTAGGCAGGTCCCCTCACCTCTCTGTGCCTCAGTTTCCTCTCTTGTAAAGCCTAGATAATACCTATGCTCCTTCGCAGGGTTTTCATGAGGATTAAATGAAGCCAACACAGCACTTTGCACAGGACCTGGCTCCCAGGAAGACTCCCAACAAATGTTCTTATAATCTGAGGTTCTGAGAAAGCTTTCCTCACAGGAAGGATAGAGCCCTGTCCTCAGGACTCCCTCAGGAATGATGGTACTGATGTATTGCCTGCTTACTGCATAGGGCTTCTGGGCCCCCCAGAAAGTGTGGGACTCCCACCAGGAAAAGCAAGGTAAAATGATCACCCTTTCTTGTGAGCACCCACCTCTTCTGGGGAGCACTAACCTGGTTGTAGATCTGGTCCAGACTGGGTCTGTCCTCCGGAGCCTCCTCCCAACACTGCTCCATCAGCTGGATGCACTCAGGGGGTCCCTGGTCAGGGGATACCAGTGGTCGGCACAGGGGAGGGGGAGATGCCACCTTCCTGATGATTTCTGCAACAAACACTCATGTGGGTAGTAGGCCAGAGGTCACCAGAGGACTTATGGGAGGGAACTGGCCTCAGAGGGAGAGCACATAAGGCTGATGAGGGTGCAGGGCTCAGGACTTGAGGTCACTCCTTGGCCCCTCTGTTCTGTGCCCCAGGGTGTGGCTGGCCAGTGGACTCAGGGTTGCCACTGAGCTGCTGCTTCCTTGGATGTGCTCCATGGTGTAGCCAGAGGACAGGTCACAGAGCTGGGTTTGAATTCTGCATCTACCACCACCTGTCTACAAGATGGTGGACCAGATGGTGACCTCTCTAAGCCCCTGTCTCCCCATCTGTAAAATAAGCTTAATAAACTCTGCTTTCTTGGAAGTGGTACTGAGGGGGGAGAGGACCGACAGTAGGTGCCTGGTACCTAGTAGGCTTTTCCCCACTCCTAAGCTTTGCAGGATAGAGCTCTGGTGGTGTAGTGCCTAGGACATTTGACTGCTAACCGAAAGGTTGGCAGTTCAAACCCACCAGCCACTCCGCAGAAGGAAGACTGGGCAATCTACTTCTGTAAAGATTTGTTGTTGTTGTTGTTATTTGCCGTCGAGTCGGCCCCGACTCATAGCGACCCCTCCTTGGGTTTCCAAGGCAGTATCACTACGGAAGTAGGATTGCCCAACCTTCCTTCCGAGGAGTGGCTGGTGGGTTTGAACCGCCAGCCTTCTGGTGAGCAGTCAAGTGCCTTAGCCACTATGCTACCAGAGCTCCCTCTGTAAAGATTTACCACCTCGGAAACCCAAAGGGGGTCACTATGAGTCAGAATTGACTCACTGGCAATGAGTTTGGTTTGCTTTTTTTTGGAAGCCTTGCACCAACTGCTGCTGCTCTGTTCCCAGGGATACTCACCAATATACCTAAAACCTTGACACTGTAGCTTTTTCCACCAGGCCTGCCACTCAGAAACTTTCTGGTGCCAGCTCCCTCCAAGTGTGAAATGATATCATCTAGTTATCGCCATCATCATTATTTCCCCAAGAAAATTGCTTCCATATCCCCACTCCATGTGGCAAAGGCCACCAGACTAAGTCAAGGTCAGATAGTTCTGTCTGTGCCTCAGTTCTCCCACTTAACAAATGATGGAAACAACCTCTACCTTAAGAAGTTATCAGGGAGCCTGGCTGCACTGAGAGAGTCAAAATTGCGCTGGGAAGAAAGGAAAGAAGTGAGGGGCTGGAACCAAGCTCAGGCTTCAAGTCAGCCAGATCAGGATGGTACTTCTAGATTATCTGCTTACATTCTGTACAAGTTGTGTCACTTCTTTAAGCTCCCATCTCCTCATCTATAAAGTGTGCATGATAATAGTGCATACCTCACAGACTTGCCATGAGGGGTAATTGGTTAATCTCTGAGGAGGGAATTATGGTGGAGAGGAGGATCATAGGTAAGGAGGTGGGAGCCCTTGGGGCAAGTGAAGAGAAACGTCTTTCTGGATTTCAATCCCCTTCCCATTCCTTCATTGGCCTCCTTGTAGTGCATGGGCCCAATCTCATTTTACAGACAGAAAACTAAGACCTTTAGGGTTAGTAGATTGCCCAGGGCCACCTGGCTAGTAAAAAAGCAGATGCTAGAGTCCCCAGATGGTGACAGGTTGGCTGTACGAATCTACCCAGATTCTCCTCAGAAGAAAGTCCTGGTAAACTATTTCCAAAATTGAAAACCCTATGGAATACAGTTTACTCTGCAACACGCAGGGTCAAAAAGAGTCAGAATTGACTCAACGGCAACTGGTTTGGTTTTTGGTTAGTACTAGGCTTGACCTCCTCCCTGGCCTTCACAATTGCTTCTGGACGAGAGGTTCCCAGCCTGCAAGTCTCAGACCCCGAGAGCCTCTGAGGTAGGGCTCTGAGGAGCTATGTGTGCTTTCCAAGCCATGTGTACAGATGGAACCAATAATGCAGCACGCACACATACAACTATTTTTCAAAAGTATGTGGATGGTGTTGTGATGAATAAAATACAAATCCATTTCAAAGTGTTGCTGATTTCAGAGCAGATTTTGTCATTGGGTATTTTCTCAGTCAGCGGATATTAAAAGTCAAATAGTAGCACAGGAGGCTTCAACCTTTTTTGATATTACAATGAGTGTTCCTAGGCGAACATGCTGGGAACCACTGCCCCAGGCCAGGCCAGGTATCGCATTCCCCCACAGTGCCCTGCTGCTGTCCACACCCCATGCATCACAGTAACTGATCAGGCTTCGTGATGGATGGAGGAGGCCACGGACTCAGATCCACAGGGCCTGGCGGGCCTCCAGGAAGACCTTCCAAGGATGACTTCAAGAGGTTTTGGGGGTCAGAACACTGAGCTTGGATCAGGGGACTTCAGCTCAAATCCCAGCTCCACTGCTTCCTTGCTAAGAAGTCCTTTACCCTCGCTGAGCCTCACTCAACTCATCTCTAAAAAGGGTGCAGTTGCCCACCCCACAGGGTGGTGATGAGGCTCAAATGGAATAACATGTACAAAAACGGTTTGGAAACTGCAAAGCACCATCCACATACAAAAAATAAACCCATTGCCGTAGAGTCAATTCCAATTCGTAGCAACCTACAGGACAGAGTAGAGCTGTCCCACAGGGTTTCAAAGGCTTTAGACAAGCAGACTGCCCCATCCTTCTCTTGTGGAGCAGCTAGCAGGTTCAAACTACTGATCTTTCAGTTAGCAGCTGAGCACTTAACCACAATGCCACCAGGGCTCCTCACCATCCACATACAGGATCTTGTTGTTGTTGTTGTTATGTGCCGTCGAGTCGGACCCGACTCATAGCGACCCCTCCTTGGGTTTCCGAGGCAGTATCACTACAGAAGTAGATTGCCCCATCTTCCTTCCGAGGAGTGGCTGGTGGGTTTGAACCGCCAGCCTTCTGGTTAGCAGTCATGTGCCTTAAGCACTATGCTACCAGGGCTCCTATACAGGATCTTAAACCACTGTTATTTCTAAGAGCAAGCAGGCTCTGTCCCCAAATGGGAGGGTGAGGAGAGAGCCTGGGATCCTCATTGGCATCCCTGCCCCAAACAACCCAAGCACTAAAACATTTCACTGAATCCTTACAACTATCCTTAGGAGCTCTGGTAGCATAGTGGCTAAGACACTTGCCTGCTAACCAGACGGCTGGCGGTTCAAACCCACCAGCCACTCCTCGGAAGGAAGGTTGGGCAATCCTATTTCCGTAGTGATAACTGCCTCGGAAACCCAAGGAGGGGTCGCTATGAGTCGGGGCCGACTCGACGGCACATGACAACAACAACAACAATCCTGCGAGGCAGGCACTAGGGAGCACATTTTACAGATGCAGAAACTGAGGCTCAGGGCCTTGAAAAACTGATCCAAAGTCATGGATGAATGATTGTGGAGCTGGGCTCAGGTCAACGTGCCCAAGGCTTGTGCTCTTAACCTTGTGGCTGGGAAACCACACTCCAGGAAGCAGTAGGTTCTGAACTGATAGCCTCTTCCAATGATGGCCAGAGGCAGCCCCCTGCACCCAGAGACATATCTAAGGTATGGCAGCTGTGGTACAGGCTCTGGACACCACTTGAAAAGAGACATCATTGAGCAGAGTTTATTAACTCAGTACAGCCCAATGACCTTCCTCAAGCATGGTAGACATCCAAACGCATAGTGAGGGGGTAGGCAGAAGGCGGCACTTGTCCCTGGGCACAAGTCCAAGGAAGCACCAGACAAGGTACAGAATGACATTCCATATATTAAGGGCTTTTGACCGAGGCAGCTAGACAAAAGGGGGAAAGGCATTTCTGCTGATGCATTGTCATAATCTGTATCTATTCATCTTAAAATTTGGGATGGGATACAACTTAGAAATTGCTCCAGGCACTCGCTACCCTCCTTACATCCCTGCCTGCACCCAATGCCTGGTGGCTTTCTGGGCTGGAGGGCCTTGCTTTGGCCACATGTCTTTCAGACCCCATCTGGCTGGTCAGTCTCTCTCAGCAGGCAGATGTGGAGGAAGCAACACTCCACATTACACATATGGCCTGATAAAGCCCTCTCGCCTTTCCACTCCTCCACTTCATAAATTTTGGGCCTGGAATGCTCATTATTCACTGAGCAGTGCTCTGGTAGAGAAATGAAGAGGGGCTGGCCTCCTGGTGAGTTTAAGATAATCCATCGGGAGTGGGAAAGGGATGATGGACTTGGCTCTGCCCTTGCTCCACACTGCGGGCTGAGAAACTAGGGTATCTGTGGGGAAGATTGCTGGGCCTGGGCAGAGGCAGAAAGAGGACATCAGGAAGAGCAAGGGACCTCTGATAGAGAACTCAGAAGGGAAGAAAACTTTCTGAAGTTGGACTCTGGCACTGAAGCTAGAAGAGAGAAATTGTCTGCAGACCATGGGGAAGGAGTGAATAGTTATCCTACACATTCAAAAGTATTGGGGCAGAGATGCTCCTGAAGGAGCCCCACCCAATCCGTGAACCCAGCCCCTAAATACCAAGCAGCCAGGCCACATCAGTCATGTGGATGAGTGTCTGGCAAGTTTTTCTTTGGATCCTCATTTCAGAGATGAGAAAACTGAGGCTCTGAAAGGGTAAGTGACTTATGTAAGGTCACAGGGCAAGTAAGTGATGGAGCGGGGGCAAAATTGAGGTCTCTGTGGACGTAAAGTCCATGCTGGCGTCAGGGTTATTCCCAGGTCAATTTCTTAATGGTCACAGAGCATGCGAACTAGGTGAAGTCTCCAGCCAGGGACAGGCCAGGGAAAGGGGAAGAGGATACCGTACCTTCTGCAGGGAGACCTGAGGAACAGTAGGGCGGGCCTCGTGTCAGCACCTCTTGCAGGATGATGCCAATGCTGAAGGTATCTCCTTTGAGAGTGCCCCCCCTGGGGCCCCCAGGTGCCCGAAGCAGCTCTGGAGCTGTCCATAGCAGCTCTGCAATCACAGGGCAGAATCACCCCACAGGTCAGGTGGTCAGCTGGTGGGCCAGCCACTTTGCCCATGTGGCCTCATTGTCCTCTCCCTGCAACCCTCAGGATGTAGGGGCCTGTATGCCCCCTATTTCACAGGTAAGGACCTTGAGGCTCAGAGAGGAAATGTAACCACACCACAGAAAATGTCTGAGGGCTGCTACTCTCCCACTTCACCTCTGCCTCATCAGGAATTCCCTAAGCACCTGACTTAAAGGCCTCAGAACCTACTGGCAGCCCCTTACCCATCCTGAGCTGACCTTCCGGGGCTGGTGGGGGACAAGGAGCTCGCTGAGTGTCCAGAAGCTCTGCATAACCATGGTCAGTGACCTTCAGCACAAAGCGTCCATCCACCACACAGTTGCGGGACTTGAGGCGGCCATGAGGGAAATGTCGATGGTGCAGATACCGCACACCCTGGGATGGACGTTTAAGGGTCCATTAGGCCTATGATGAATGAGAGGGGCCCTGGATACCAGGAAACCTTCCACCCTCACCTCACCCTTTGCCATGCTATTCAGATTTTTCTCAGATGAAGTGGAAAGAGCCCAGGTGTGGGAAATCTGAACATCTCTCATCTCCCCACCCTCTCACTGACCCCACTGCATGGGAGGAGCCTTACGCGGATCAAATCCAACAGAAGGGAGGCCTTGAAAGTCCAGTCCAGCCTCAGAGCCTCGTTCCGCAGCAGGTCCTCCAGGCTGCCCCGAGAACAGTGCTCCAGCACCAGAGCACTGACCCCAGGGGCCACGAAGAAGCCCAGGCAGGTGACAACATTCTCGTGCCGCAACTCCCGCATCTGCTGGGGCAAAGGGCTCCTGAGACTAGGCTAGGTGTAGTTTGTGTCTGAACCCCCAGTTCTTAGCACCCAGCACAGGGCTGAGCCCAGAGAGGCCTCAGGAAACATTTGATGGATGAGTGAGTGAAGGAATGAATGAATGAGTGATTGGAAACATCAAGGATGGGTAAGTGAGTGAGCTGTGTCCTGCCATAGAATAGTGATCTAGCCCTGTTTCCCAACTTAAGTGATACCGTGGGCCTGAAAACCATACCAATTCTCTACTCCAAGATTCAGGCTTTGAGGAGGGTTAGAAGCAGAGGGATTAGGCACAAGCAGAAAGAAGACTCCCTGTTGGCTGTCTGAGTGTTGTTGCTGTTCATTACTGTTGAGTCAATTCTGACTCATGGAGACCCCATGTGTGCAGAGTAGAGCTACTCCATAGAGTTTTCAAGGCTGTGACCTTTTGGAAGCAAGTTGCCAGACCTGTCTTCTGAGTCACTACTGAGTGGGTTCAAATCACCACCCTTTTGACTAGTAGTTGAGGGCTTAACCATTTGCTCTACCCAGGGATCCTGTCTAGCAAGTTAGAAAGCTCAAATCCAACCAGAGGTAGACACTAGCATTTGCCTAAGCAGGAAAGATGGAACCCTTATCTGGCACCATTCTCCTCGTAAAAACAGTTCAGGGGTCATCAACAGGGGAAACAACTTATTTTTCCCCCTTTGGGATTCATAAGCACTTAAGCATGTGGTGAGTTAAGGATGGCCTCAAATTCCTTGACACTCCTGCTATCAAGAGGAGGGATCTCTCCCCCCTCTGCCCACCCGCCCCTTGAATCTAAGTAGGCTCTGTGGCTACTGTGACCAATAGACCATACTGGAACTGGTCTTGAACCTTCTGAGTCTAGGTCTTAGAGACTGGCATCTTCCATTTCCTGTCTCTCAGAGTACTTTTTATTGGACCCCTGAACTGCTAGGTGAGAGGTCCTTCTACCCTGAGACCACCATGCTGGAGACACCCCTGGAGAGGCTCTGAGACAACACAGAAAGCAAAGACAGGTCCAACTGAGTCCAACTTTCCAGCCAACCTGCCAAGACTCAAGGTGTTTGTGAGTGAAGCCATCTTAGACCCTCTGGACCAGGGAGCATCATATTTTTTTAAAAAAAAAAAAGTCCAGATAGGAAATATTTTAGGTTTTGTGGCTATACAGTCTCCATCATAAATATTCGCCTCTGTGGTTACAGCACAAAAGCAGCCATTGATAATGCATAAATGAATGAACATGGCTGCATGCCAACAAAATTTTATTTTCAAAACAGGCAGTGGGCTAGATTTGGCCCATGGGCCATAGTTTGCCAACTCTTTCTCTAGATCAGCTCATTCACCAGTTGATAGCCACTGAGCTATCTCCACACAACACTATGAGAAACCTGGCCAAATATCTGGCCCATAAAATTGTTAAGGTATTAATAAAACAGTTGTTGTTTTTAAACACTTCATTTTAGGGTAAGTTGTTGCCAAGTAAGAAATAGATAACCAGAACAGCATATTAAATGTTCTGAGAAATCCTGTGGTTAATCCAACAATTTCCAAAATTGTTTGAGAAATGTCTACTCACATTGGTTATAGGACACCCACTGGGAAACACCTAACTCAACCTCCAGTCACTTAATCTCTAAAAATTTTACTTCAGATGGTGGTGATGTTGGAAATACTAATCAAAATCACCATGTATGGAAGGCACACTTCTTACCCAGGGCAGCTCTAGGCTATATATTTTCACCAATCTTCTTAATTCCCCTGGAGGTGGATAGCATAGCTCCATTTTACAGGAAAGCCAAGTGTCTATGGAAGCAGGATTCTACCTGGGGTCTTTGATTCCAAATCCTGGGCTCTGTCCTCGTCCTACAGTGCATCTTAGGATGGTGACTATCTTGGGGTGAAGGTGCTTCTGTGGTTAGTGATGACAAGTGACTGTAAGCTCCCTGAAGGCAGGAACTTGTCTCTCTTCTCCACTAGTGTATTCCCAAAAGCCCAGAACACTGCCTGGCATATAGGTGGCACTCAACAAACACTTAGTGAATAAAGGAATGGATGGGCTGACCTAGATGATAACCGGGCCTTTGATGGTCTTGGCTACACCATGTGATGATACAGATGAAGGTGATTGTGCTCCTGGTGATTATGATGACAAGCCCATTGATGGAGACATGGCTTTAGGAATGTTGACATGCAGTGGTGACAGTGCTGTGTATGATTGTGATTGAGGTGCTGGGAATGGGGTGGCAATCATGGATAGGAATGACTTCCTTTCTGAGGCCAGAATCTTTCTCATTGATGAGGAACCAATTCAGACCAGAAAGCGTCGCCTGCAAAGCACGCTGTCCCACCTCACTGTCCATGCCCTCGCAGCTCTACCTTTCTCAGGAAGCTGATAGAACTCGGCCGTAGCTCTGGGGCTGTGCCAGCTTCAAACTTCTTCAGCCGTACCCAGTCTCCCTGCTCAAGAAAGAAACAGTAAGTGCTTATCTGTTCCTGTTTCCCAGCTGTGTGACTTTGGGAAAATTCTTCAACCTCTGTAAGCCCAAGCTTCTTCACCATAATAAAATAAAAAAACAGTTCTCACTGAATTAACTCTGACTCACAGCAACTCCATGTGTGTCAAACTAGACTTGTGCTCCATAAAGTTTTCCATGACTGATTTTTTTTTTTTTATTGTGATTTGGGTGAAAGTTTACAGAGCAAATTCACTTTCCATACAGCAGTTCACATACATTTTGTCTCACGACACTGACTACAATTTACCCCAGTGCAACAGCTCCCCTCCCACTTCCTCCTGACAGTTACCTCTTCCCTATGTCCATCTCTCCTTGTACTCCTGCCCCCTGAGCTGTCTCCCTGTGCATAAACATCCCTTCTTTCTCCCATGATTGTTCTCTCCAAGGAGTGTATCTACCTAATGTAAATGTTCAGGTCATATACCTGTCTTTTGTTTGGCTGGAAGCCACAGGAGTGGGTTCAATTCCAAACCTGAAGGGTAGCTAGGGGCCATAGTGTCAGGGGTTCCACTAGGCTCTATCAGACCAGCAAACCTGGTCCCTTTAAAAAAAAAAAAATGATTTTGAGTTTTGTCCCACATTGTTCTCCTACCCATGTCTGATTTTTCAGAAGTAGATCACCAGGCCTTTCTTTCAAGGTGCCTCTTGGTGGATTTGAACCTTCAACCTTTCTGTTAGCAGCCGAGCATGTTAGTTAACTGTTTATACCACCCAGAGATTCCTCTTCACCATAAATGGAAATGGTAATAACAGCCACAGCTGCACCACTTTCTGTGGGTACACGTTGGGCAGAGTGTAGTCGGCAGAAACAGCAGCTACATTTTTGCTGCAGAACAGGCAGAGCCAGTGGTAACTCCACTACTTTCCAGTTCTGTGAACTTGGGCAGGTGAGTTCAGTTCTCTGAACCTCATTTTCCAATTCAAATAATTGCCTCATAAGCAAGTATGATAACCCTCACCCACATGGTGAGGTGGTGGTAGAAAGCACATAGTTCCCTTCCCAGGGGCCAGCTTTACCTTCAGGCCACAGGCACCATGATACCCAAACTCTGTGAGGTAGTGGGGGACTCTGGGACCCAGGGACTCTAGGGAAAGAGAGAAGGGAGGATGGGGGCAAGGTGGGGGTGGGGACTCAGCTGAGTTCTGTCCTTGCCTCGGCCTGGTCCAGAGCTGACCTCTCTCCCTTCATCACTGAAGTATTTTGCCTCCTCCAACTCACCCACAGCCTGTCAGCTAACTGAGGAAAGCAGATGAATCGTGCTTTGCCCATCACTAAAGCTCTGATCAACAGAAAAGAAAAAGAGGTGGAATTCCCCAGGGGAGAATGTGGGAAAGAAGGAGCAAGAGTCTCATGTGGCTTCCTGTAGAAGCAATCCTCCTGGCTTGTCAACTGTGAGGATCAAGAAATATGAGAATTACAAAAAAAAACACCTCACTGCCATCAAGTCAATTCCAACTCATAGCAACCCCTCCTTGTGTTTCTGAGGTGGTATCTCTACAGAAGTAGATTGCCCAGTTTTCCTTCCCAGGAGCGACTGGTGGGTTTGAACCACAATCAAATGTCTTAGGCACTATACCACTAGAGCTCCCATGAGAATTACAGCATCGGTGAATTGGTCAATTTGAGACCATCAGTATCTGAGAAACTGGGATCATCAGAGCCTACCATCAAGTCTGGCTGGTCTGACCTCTGACTTTCTAGTCATTGTGAGTTGGTGACCCAGCCTCTGCCCCAAGGCTGTGCTGGGCTGGGAGAAACCTCCACATGTCAGGGCCTGGGGGACCAGGAGTTTCACTGCCCCTTGTCTGAGTGGGCAGGGGGTGAGCCTAGGCTTGCCTCATGCCCAAGAGGGACGTTGAGGTGGACCTTGGCTGTCTGTGCCCAGGGCCAAGTAGCCAGGAACTTGCTGTTTCCCAAGATCAGATTGTGAACTACTCTAGGCTGGGAGTTGGAAGTCTGGTTCCCACTTCTAGACCTATCATTAACTTGCTGTGTGACCCAGGAAAGTCACACTGCCTCTTTCTGGGCCTCAGTTTCTCATCCTGTAACATGAGTGGAACAGAGGCCTGAGAGGCTGTGGGCTCCCTCAGTTTCTCCCAAACTTACTACAATTCCCCAGGCTTGGGCATGAGGATGGAGAGGCCCTCACCTGGTACAGGGCCACATTGGTGGGCTCCTGGGGGCCTGGCAGACTCCTCATTGATCCCTGGGCCACTGACCTCAGGCTCCCGCCATCTGCCACACTTCTCGATTCACTCGCAGTATCCAAGTGCAGTCTCTGGAGGAGGGCAGGCATGGTCACAAACCTTAGCTGGACCTCAGTCTGCTTCCATGCTCCCAGTCCAGCCCCTACCCCGGCCCAGCCTGTGCACTACCCACCCGACTGCTCAGGGGCCGGTGGATGAAGGTGAGCTCCTGGGTGGTCAGCAGAATCCGGTGGGGGCCCCGTACTAGCCGAAGCTGCTGTATGCCCAACCTGGAGAACAAACAGTGCAAGGCAGTGGGGATGGTACACATTTTATCCCACTCAGTCTGGCCCCTGGGACCTGCGTCTGACTCAGAGCCCTCACCTATTCTCCCTGGGTTCCCCATTCTGCCTTTGCACCAGTCCTAGTGTGGCTGAGAAGGCTGTGTGACTGTTTCCCACAGAGCCCTGCAGCCTCAGGCTCAGGTCTAAGGCCTCTGGTGTCTTACACCCTTGCTGGTTCAAAGCCTAAATTGCTCCCAAATTGCCTGGAGGCCTCATGGGACAGCCAGAGCCGTAGGGGAGGAATGCAAGTGGAAGTCTAGCCCCCTTCCAGTTAGGGCTCAGGTTCAGGGAGGGTCTGGATCCAGGAACACCATGGAATTCAGACTAGAGGTGGAATTGTTTTCAAAGCTGGAAGAACCCTTGGGGATCATGCTGGCTAAGCCTTCATTTTACAGATGGTTAGAATGAAGCTCAGGGAAGGCCAGAGTCTTGTCCAAAGTCACAGGCTTCTTCCTCAAGGCTCAAGTGAAATTTCTCTGGAGGCAGCCTGGGGCCCTGACAGAACCCTGATTGAGGCCTTAGGATGGAGAAGAGTGGGGTAGGAACTCCTCTGCAGTTTACCAGTACTGTGTACCCAGAGAGAGGTCCTGTGGGTGGGACATGGAGGCAGAGCCAGGCTGGGGCACAGACAGTCTCACCTGATGAGGCAGGTAAGGGCCCCACCAGCCAACACAAGAACACAGGCCAGGGCCAGGGCCAGGAGGCTACCCTGGGGCTGCACGCCTGTGGGGGAAGCAGGACAGGCAAGAGTCATAACAGTGAGAACCACATATAGGGACAGCCCCATTCACTCCCTGGGGAAACTTCTACCCTGGGAAAAGGAATTCAAAACCCTGCCCAGCCTCCTCCCCTGGGCAGGGTCTCAAGATGGGCCCAGGTGGGAAATCCTATCTGTGGATGGTCATCAGGCACAGACCTCAGCTCCCAACACTGTCGTCTGTGTTCTCAGCCTGGACATCCCTCCTCAGGCCCCCATGGCCCCTGCTCAGCCCCATTACAGTCATGATCACTCCATGGCCTTTTGTACTAGTATGGCCCTCCACTTAGACTGAGAGTAGCAGAGGGTAGGCTTGTACCTTATTTGTCTCTGTGCCGCTGGCACCTAGCATCAGACCTGGACAGGACAGGTGCTGAATAAAAATTCGTCAGGTGAGCATCCCTACCAGTTGTTACGCCATTTCTTGCATATCCCCTGTGATGGGCCACTCACTACCTGTCTTATCAGATGGTTTCATTGTGGGATAGCTCTGACTGTGATAAGAAAGACCAAATCTCTAGCCTTCATGTTAGGAGCCAGATACAGAGGCTGTTTGGATCCTCCCAGGTGAGGTGAGGGGCTGTTTTGCTTGGCCTGACAAGGTGGTAAAATGCTTGGCCTCATCTGGAGAAAGGACATTGTCTTCCACTGCCATGGAAAGAGGGACTATCCCTTCTTCCTTCCTTGCTTCCCACCCTTCCTTCCTTTTGTGTGGGACAAGGACTTTTCTGCCTGCCTCCTTTAAGACCCCCTAGTCTGAGTTGAATTCAGATAATAATAATAGCAGCAAATATTTTGTAGTATTTATTGTGTTTTTTTGTTTGTTTGTTTATTATGTACAAGAAGGCACTCTGGTGACAGAGTGGTTAAGGCATCTGGCTGCTAATCAGAAGGTTGGAGTTTCAAACCTACCAGCTGCTCTGTGGGAGGAAGATGAGGCAATTTACTTCTGTAAAGATTTGCAGCCTTGGAAACCCTGTGGGTTGCTGTGAGTCGGAATCAACTTGATGACAGTGGTTTGGTTTTGGTACTGTGCACGTGCATTCGATCTAAAGTTGTTATGTATTTCTACTCAGTTAGTCCTCATAATGACCTCTGGAAATAGGTACAGTTATTATCACAATTCCATAGATGAGGAAACTGAGAGGTTGATCATGAATGGTAGAGCCTGGGTTCAAACCCACACAGTTTTGTATTGGCATCTGGGCTCCTAATCATTGCACCACACTATCTCTCACAAAGCACTGAGAGGAAGGAAGAGCTGAGCAGAGATTTGAAGAGGTAAGGGGGTAAACCATACAGCAGGTGGCAAAGAGACTTGCAGACATGGGAAAGAGTAAGCACTCTATGAGCATGGTGTGGTACACCCAGGAGGTGGAGAGCACAGGGCAAGGAGCCCCAACCCTGACTGCAGAATTGTTCTTGAAGGATAAACCCCCAAAACCAAATCTATTTCCATCAAGTCAATTCTGACTCATAGCAACCCTAAAGAACAGAGTAGAATTGCCCCATAGGGTTTCCAAGGCTGTAAATCTTTACAGAAGCTGACTGCCACATCTTTCTTCCATGGAGCAGCTGGTGGGTTTGAACTGCAGACCCTTCTTTTAGCAGCTGAGCTCTTAACCACTGTACCACTGGAGCTCCTTTTCTTGAAAGACAAGTAAGATTTATCCAAGCAAGGTGGGCATCATTAGTGGAGATGAGAACTCCAAGAAGAGAAAAATGTGTGTGAAAAGGGAGGCTTGAAAGGGTGGTGTGTATTTGGAGAAATGCAAGGAGTCAACCTTGCCTGTGGAGTCATGTTGGGAGATATAGTAAAGAAGCAGGCAGAGCTGAAGTTGTGAGGCATGGGAGGCCACAGAAGGTTTGAGCAGGGCAGGGACATAAGCAAACCTGGCCAAACCTGAGATTACCCACCAACTACAGTAACCATAACTAGGCGTGCAGCAGAGAAGGTGAGTGCATTTGCTTATTTGCACCAATATATGTGTGCTCATCTCTACACACGTCTGTGTGTGTGTCAGTGTCATTTCACTAGGGATGAAGATCTATCATTGAATATCAGGATTCTGAATGGGATAGGCTTCCTCACCTCATACTCCCTTGTTGTCATGAGGTAAAAGGAATTCTGCACTTGGAGTCAGTAGATGTGGGCTTAGTGTTAGCTTAGCCACTGCCTCCCTGTATGGCCTTGGGCAAGTCCCCAAAACTTTCTGAGCTTCATTTCTCCACTGGTGACTGTGGAGGATAATGGCCTAGTCACAGGGCAGGGCCACTACCGTCACCACCAACTCTGATGTCTGATGTTTAGGAAAGGTAAGATACAGGAATGTGTTCTATAAACATGGCAGCCCTGCTCATCAGAGGGGAGAGCTTGTTAGACTCCCTGGTGCTTTGCAACTGTTGGTTAGTTTACCTCAATGGAAGAATGGACTTAACAATAAAGTATTAAGTCTTAGCACCTGCCCCTGCTCCTTATAATACTGCCCAGAGACCCTTCTTGAATATTAGATAGATTGATACATGGATTTATGAATGGATGGATGGATGGATGGATGGATAGATGGATGGATGGTGAATTACCTCTCATGCATAACGTATTAGGGTCAAACCAGCAGCTGGAGTCACGAGCTGGAGGAGCCCCTCCTGGAAAGTGTATGTCCCTGCCCAAGGGCTGCACTTTCCATGTGCCTGTGTCCAGGATGTGGGTGGGGACCAGCTGGCTTCCCCAACCATCTGTATCCAGGATGACGTACTGGGCCAGCCTCCGGCCCTTCTCATCTGTCCGTATCCTCTGGCTAAAGCCAGCCACATCCAGAGCCCCTGTGTAGTTCCCTAAGTGGGCCCCTGAGAGTCCTGGTCCATGGCTCTCAGAGCGGTTCAGGGCATGGGCCAGTAGGATCACAGCATCGTAGATGGTTCCAAAGAGTGGGGACACCTGCAAAGGAGAAGGTCCCCAACCCTATGGCACAGGCTCCCAGATGTCTCTGAGTTCTGGCTCTCCTGCCCACAGCAATTGTTGGGATTATTGTTACACACACACACATGCCTTTCTGCCACCATTACCCCAGTCCCCACTCAGTCTCCATAGCCACCAGCATCGTGTCCACCACCATCATCACCAACTCTGATGTCTCACAGGCATCTCAGACTTAACTAATAAGCCCAAACAGAACTCCTTGTCCCACCACCCCAACCTGACTCCTCCTCCATTCCCCACCCCCCCATTTTAGGAAATGAAATTACTGATTACCCAGCTTCTCAAGCCAAAAGCTCAGGCATGATCCCTGACAACTCTTTACTCTCTTCCAATTCATTATCAGGTCTTTTTGGTTATATTCACAATTTATCTCCAACTCAACCAACCTCTCACCACTTCCACTCCTGCCTACTCCTGACCAATGTTCACCTAGACCACACAGGAGCCTCCTAAGGGTTTCTTTCTTCATCTTGCCCTCTTCATGCCATCCCCATAAGGCATCCAAAGTTATTTTTTAGAAACTGTAAATCAAATAATTTCTTATTTAAAACCCACTAATGGTTTCTCATTTTACTTATAATAAGTTCAGCCTCCTTACCCTGGCCTACCATGCCTCATATGATCAGACCTCTGAGTTCACCTTGGATCCCATTCTCCATCACTCCTGATACTCTAGTCACTCCACGCTCCCTCTGCCTCCTCCTCAGCAACTTGTGCTGCCTCAGGGCCTTTGCACTCACTGATTCCCTCACCTGTTGCTCTTCATCGAGATCTTCACTTGGCTGCCTCCCTATCATTCAGATCTCAGCTCAAGTGCCATCTCCTCAGAGAGGCCTTCCCTGCCCATCTCACCTCCTGTGACCCACTAATTCCATTCCAGCCATTCTATCACTTTATCCTGGTGTATTTTCTTGGAAGGTTTACTGCTATTTGAATTTGGTTACTTGGTTATTGTCTGGCTCCCAATAACAGAATTGAAACTCTTTGAAAGCCAGGCCTGTCTTGTCCATTACAATGTCCTTGACACCCGACACCTGACACAGTGCCACATGATAGGGATTTGATCCATATCAAATGAATGACTGATTGATTGGCTTTCCATTGGCACCTGCATGCCTGTCACCACTTTCTGACATTTGTGTCCCAATCACCAAGAAGCAGACATCCCAAGGAAGACGTGAGTTCAACTAAACCCTTTGGGCCAAAACCAAGCCAGCAGCCCTATCCCCCTCCCTCCCAGAACTCTTCAAATTCACAGCAGTGACTTCAGAAAACCTTCCCACTCTCCCACACTGCCAACATTCTCTCCTAATTTTCACAATTTGCTAGAGAGATGCAGAGAATAGAGAGAGGCAGAGAAAGTAGAAAAAGAATGTCTTCAAGAGAAAGAGCAGCTGAGCCAGAAATAAGAACTAGAAGAATTGAGTCATAGAGAAAAACAAAAGCAAAAGAGACGCAAGAGAAGAATTAACAAAGGAGCCAAAAGAGTGGATAAAATAAGAGAGCCTGAGGTACACACACACATGAGAGAGAGAGAGAGAGAGAGAGAGAAAAGAAAAGGGAGGAAGGAAGGAAGAGAGAAAGAAAGATATGCCCAGGAACCAGTGAGATAGACACCTTGTCAGATGAGGAACAGGTCATGTGCCCACAGTGGAGGCGCAACTGGCTGGCCAGGTGGGTGACTGAGGGTGGACAAGGAGCCCACGCACACCCTGCCCATGGCTCCAGGTCCTCCAGGGGTCTCATGAAGGCGTGTGAGGGTTTGCACTGACCTGCTCTGGCTCCAAGTAGGCAGCTACCTCTCCACCCGTCCTGGCAGACTCCAGGCTGATGGTGAGCACCGTGTCGTAGACCTGCTGCAGAGGTCCCCTGTCACCGAGGGCTGGGTAGGAGTGGTTGTGGTAGGGCAGAGAAAACAGCAGTGTGTCGTAAGGCAGAAAGACGAGCTTCCCATCAGCCAGGCCTTCGGCCCACGCAAGACTCAGCAGCGCAGTCTGCTCGGGGCCACCCAGGAGTGCTGAGTGCATGCACAGCACCACAACTGGGGGCAGAGAGAGCAGAGTCACATTTGCAGCCCCAGCTCCCACTGGGGTCTCCCTGAAGCCTGGACTTCTGTGCCTATGGAGAACTGCTCCGTATTCCTGTCAGGCCTTCTTTCTGCTGTCATTCCCCAAGCCCCTTCCTTCCCCATCAATATGAGGAAAGGTGGAAGTTCCCCTTAATCTGCTCCCACTGTAACAATAACAGCCAAGGTCACCGAATCTCAGTTTGTCCTTATGGAAAAAAAATCCTCTTGATTTAGAACACATTTGTATTATGTCCCTCCCAGCCAGCCCACCCTCAGTTTTGACCAACTTCCCAGCCTCCCTCCACCCTATTGGCTTTGATAGTTGCTGATGTTTACTGACTGCTTTTTCTGTGGTGCCTAAAGCACTTTTACAAACATTTAGTCATTCAATATTACAACAGTCCTAAGGTCAGAGTCCCACACTGGACTTCCATTTTTTATCTCTACCTCACTGGTGTTTCTGACAAGGTTACAACGGCAGCCAAAAAATAGCCATGCACTTTAGATGGGTGCCCTCTGCAACCCTTCTCTCCAGAATATCCAGGAAAATGGACCCACTCAGGAAGGGCAGGGGTCTCCTTGCAGAGGCCTGAGGACCCCTCATCATGTGGAAGTCAGAGCCTGAAGCTCCGGCCTCTGCTGAGCCCCTGGAGAGCTATACTTTGTGGAAGAAGCCATATACACAGGAACAGCTAGCAGGAACTGCATGCTCACTGCAGGCTGCTGTTCTCAGCCCTTTATCCGCTGCAGTCCATCTCATCTTCACAACCCTGCACTGTTGGGGCTTTGATTTACTAGTTGCCATCAAGTCAATGCTGACTCATGGTGACCCCATGTGTGTCAGAGTAGAACTGTGTTCCATAGGGTTGGTTTCAATGGCTGATTTTTCAAAAATTCCTCTTGGTGGACTCAAACCACCAAACTTTTGGTTACCAGCCAAGTGTGTTAACCATTTGCACAACCCAAGGGGCTTAGATTTGCCCCATGCTATTCATGAGGAATCTAGGGGCTCTGGTGGTATAGTGCGTAAGGCATCTGACTGCTAAGCAGGAAGCTGGTGGTTCAAACCCACCAGACACTCCTCAGAAGGAAGATTGGTCAATCTACTTCCATAGTGATACCGCCTTGGAAACCCAAGGAGGGGTCGCTGAGTCGGATCCAACTCTACAGCAGTGATTTTGGTTTTTGGTTCATAGCAGAGAGAGATTTAATAACTTGCCTGGGGTCACACAGCTAGTAGGAAGTGGGGCCAGGAGTGGACTTCTGGCAATCTGACTCCAAGTAAGTATCCTACCTACTCTGCCCACCTGGCTCCTGAATATCAGAGGAACAGCTGGAACGCAAACCCCTGCAACAAGGGTGGAGGAGTCTGATCAGGTTTCCCCTGTTCACTGCCATCAGGCTCCATCCTCACAGCACTAAACTGCTCACCATTTTCATTAAGGCCCTTAACATGCGGCCTTCACTCCTTTGCACAGGCTGGTCTCCCTGCCTGGAATTCCTTTTCCCTCATTTCCATCTAAGGAGTTCTGGTGGCATGGTGAGTTAAGACATTTGGCTGCTAACCAGGTTAGTGGTTCAAACCCACCAGCTGCTCCATGAGGGGAAGATGAGGCTATCTACTTCCATAAAGATTTACAGCCTTGAAAATCCAATGGGGGTTGCTGTCAGTTGGAATCAACGTGATGGCAGTGGGTGTTTTGTTTTGTTTTTAGCTCCATCTGCAACCAACTTCTCCCTTTCAGGCCCAGCTTTAATGTCACATTGGAGTGACATTATGTTGTCCCTCTCTGAAGTTCTCCAAGCAGATAAGCTCCCCCAGCCTTGGAGCTTCTTTGTTCCCTGTGCTGTCATGACAGTTTACACATCTGCTCCCACGCCAAACTCAGGCCTCCTGCCCACTGGCCTCCTGGCCAGTCTTCCCTGGGTCCCCAGAGTCCAGTCAGGATCTACCTAGAGCAATGCTCAGAGACTCTGGGTTGAATGAAGTATTTACAAAACACTCAATCACCTATATCTGCTCCTTGTGACCCTACCAGGTAGGTTTTGTTATCCTCATTTCACCTACTGGACAACTGGGGCTCCGAGAGTGAGGCGTGGTCGCTGAGGTTACAGTGGGCACATCTGGGCCAAGTGTCACTCTCCCCTGGGCTCTAACTCACTAACCAGCCACATAATCCCAGCAGACTGCCCATCCCTGCTTCCTACCAGGCCCTGGCCTCAATTCCCTCCAATATAGAACACGATGGTTTGTCTTAGTGGCTTTTAAAATGTGTCCCACAATAAGAAATCTATTTTATCTTTTCATACTCACAAAACTGAATATATAAAGCTTGAACATACTCACAAAACTGATAGAAATTTTCAGAAAACAATACTTATGTGATGCTTAGGTGCACTCACAGTGACTTTGACTCACAGTGATCCCATGTGACAGAGTAAAACTGCCCCATAGGGTTTTCTAGGTTGTGATCTTTATGGGAACTGGTCACCAGATCTTTCACCTTCAGAGCTGCTGGATGGATTCTAACCATCAGCCTTTCAGTTAGCAGCCAACCACTTAAACATTGGGTCACTAGGGCTCCTTCTACTTGGTCTTACCCATTGCCATCAAGTTAATTCCAACTCAGCAATCCTATAGGACAGAGTAGAATGGCCCTATAGGGTTTCCAAGGCTGTAATCTTAACAGAAGGAGACTGCCACGTGTTTCTCCAATGGAGTGCCTGGTGGGTTCGAAGCACCAATGTTTTGGTTAGCAGCCAAGCACTTAACCACTGTGCCACGAGGGCTTCTCTCAACTTACCCTTACTACCTGCCAATTACTACCTGCAAATGCACTCATACTCACTATTCTTACTCTATTCCACTTTACTGTATTCTATTCCATTTTATTCTTGTCTGTCCGATTATATTCCATTCTCATTCTTTCTTTTTTCATAATCCTGGTCATGATTTACTAAGTTGGGTTCTTGATCCAAATGGACCACAAGGCACAGTTTGAAACTCCCAGTCTAGATTAACTCTAAGTTCCTTCTGTCTTCCAGGTGTACTTCTCCCCTCCACCCCATCCCATCACGCCTTTCCTGGCTAACTACTTCCTAAAGATAGGACAAGTGACAGCTCCTCCAAAAGGCCTCCTCAGATCACTCAGCACCCAGCCACAGGTCTGCTCTAGTCCTCCGGCCTCTGTTCCATGGAATGACCCTGGCCTCTCTGTCTCCCCTGATGGACTTCCTATCTCCTTATCACACAGTTACCTCCTGGAGTCCAGCCACTTCCTCTGTCCTGTCCACCACTGTGATGCAGCTCAGGCAGGTGCTGGATAAATGCAGGAGTCAATCAATCAACAAATCAGTCAAGGCTATGACTCCAATTCCAAGAAGCCACAAGTGGCTCTAACTCTCTTCCTAGGGCTCATCCTCTTCTACTCTCATTTCCTTTACTTTACCAGGTAAGAACCAAGAATATCCTTTGTTCCCACTCCTCTGCTGATACTTGAGTCAGAGTTTGGAATCCAGCTGCACTGCTTGGCAGTTGTGTGACTTGGACAATTTACTTACTTTCTTTGAGCTGTAAAAAGGGGGCCTTGGCAGTACTGCTCACAAAGCTGTTGTGAGGTTAGAGGCAGTGCCATTGTCAAGTGCCAAGCCCAGTGTCTAATGCAGAGGACGTTACCCATTAGATGATGCCCAGGCTGTCTATAGGAGGAAGACATCCACAGACACTTACTTTTTAGGCCATCCACACTACAGAGCTGCTTCAGGACCTCCGTGGCTCCCTGTTCCCCGGGTCCTAGAGAAGTCACCAGCCCTACAGGTAGCCCATGCATCCTGAAAGTTGTGGCAACCTGTCGGGCTGTGGCCACCCAGATGTCCTGGTGGGAGGACACAATGGCCACACGGGCCCAACCAAAGTGTCTCAGGATGGCTAGCAGCACATGGGGAGCCGAAGGCAAGGTGGGCACCAACTCATCTCCTCCCTCAGCGGCCCCACACACCCAGGAGAAGAGGGTCTTGCCCCAGCCTTGGGCCAGCAGAACTGCTGCTGGGCAGTAACCAGGATTGACAGGACCTACAAAAGCAGCTATGCTGTCCTTGTGGGCCAGGAACGTGGCCAGGGCCTGAGGTGTGTCACAGTCCATGGGGAGAACCACAGACTCTAGCCGTGAACCCAGCAACAATGAAGGGTCCTGGTTAACTTGGTCCACAGCCAGCTGGACAGCCACATTGGGGAGGGCCTTGGCAAAAATGGGGTCACAGTCCCAGGGACCCAGCACCCCCAGGGTGAAGTTCTCTGACCCCCAGGCCAGATGGGGAAAGAGGCCAACCCACAGAAGGGTACTCCAAAGCACCACAGAGAGAAGTGGCAGAAAAAGGGCTTTCTTTGGTAGACTGAGGATGGGGCCCCATGGACCCTGGTAGGGTGGGAAGGTCTTCTCGTGTGGCTGTGTCCAGCACCGATCTCCTGCATACAAGCCTCCTGGCAGTCCTGGGGGGAAAATTGGATAGCGTTTTCCACCAGCACTTACTTTGTGATTTTGAAACAAACACCTCCTTCCGGAGTGCCAATCTCCCATTGTAAACAAGACACTGAACCCATAATGTCCTAGGACCCCCAGCTTTGGAGATCTGACATTCTCTCCAGAACTGGCTCACAGCCTGGTGATACCCAAGTAAAGGCCTGGGCTAGAGCTTAATCACAAAGTACATGGACAATAAAGTCAGAGCTGGCCAGACCTTGCTTGCTATGTCCTGTCTGTGTGACCCTGGAGCAAGCGCTGAAGCTTCCTCAACCTCACTTTCCTCCTCTGTAAAATGTGAATAAAACCAATTTTATAGAGTTATCATGATGATTACATTTTATGTGCAGCATTGAGCACACCCCTTTGTTCTTCTGGTGACATAGTGCCTAAAACATTTAACTGCTAACCAGAAAGCTGGTAGTTCTAACCCACCAGCCACTCCTCAGAAGGAAGACAGGACAATCTACTTCCATAGAGATATGGCCTCAGAAACCCACGGAGGGGTCACTATAAGTTGGAACCGACTCAACAGCAGTGAGTTTGTTGTTTTTGTTTTTGTTTTTTTTGGTTTATTGTACTTACATGTTCAATAAATCCTACCTCTTTGAACTTATTGCTATTTTTTAATTGTTCTATTTATTTTTGTTGTCATTGAAAATATATACAGTGGAACATACAGCAATTCAACAATTTCTGTATGTACAGTTTAGTGGCGTTTATTACAGTTTCAAGTTGTACAACCATTCTCACCCTCTTTTTCTGAATTATATTCCACCATTAACATAAACTCAGTAGCCCCTAAGGTTCCTATGTAAGTTTTTGAGTTGGTGTTGTCAATTTGATCCCATATAGATAGTTCTTTAAGAGAGCTAATGCTCAAGGCAGGCATTCTTTACTAATTAAGCTAAACTGTTATTTGTCAAACTATTGATTTATTTCTCCTTTCACTCATCTTCCAAGGTGGGTTAGGTTATCCTGGGTCCACATACCCTCCTACTATGACCCCAGCCTTTTACCCTCCAACTCCAGTATTGTCCCATCGGACTTTACTCTGCTCGATTAGGGGCCTTAGTAGTTTAAGACTCTGTGTGCAGATAACTCACCCACTGTGTGCGCTCATGGGGAGTAGGAACTAGAGGCTTTACAAAGCACATGCAGAGTCCCATCTCTGATACCCCTCACAACACTGCTCAGGTAAAAAGGTCTTTCTATCCATCCATATTGTACAAATGAGGAAACAATCATGGAGTTGCTAGAGAGAGAGGATTTGACCTAAGTGTGTTCAGCTTATCCCCCACACCCTACATATGACCTTGACGAGGACATTTGGACTGTGGCCTTCCCCACCTCATTCATCCAGGGCCCTGGGACTCTTGCTTGGGCTCTGGGACTCTTGCCTGGTCTCTGCCTACATTCCTGCTATAGCCTACTCCTCACCCACAGGGCTCAGTCATCTTTCTTCCTACACTATTTATGTAGCCAGCAGCCTTCCAGTGTGAGTGCCCCTGGAAGGCATAAGATCCAGTCACAGCCCTTAAAAAATTTCCAGGCTAGTAGAGAGGTCCCAGCCAAGAGAAGAGCTGAGCACAAGTATGGGCAGTGGGCAGAAGGACCTGATGAATGGGGAGGCCCCTCGGGTGGAGGAGAGCTCATGGAGAGCTTCCCAGGGAAGCACTACTAGAACTAGCCCTTGGGAGCAGTATAGAGCTGGTGAGTAGGAGGGTGTCTTCTGGAATGCCAATAATGATTGTCTGTGTAATGATTGTAATCAACACATAACAAATGATGTTTACTGCAGAGGGATGAGAAGGCCTTGGAATCACCCTGGGGAAGAAATCCTAATTTTATTACTCGCTAACCACTAACTTTGAGGGGCCCCGGTGGCATAACAGCTTAAGCCTCAGCTGCTTTTACTGGAAGGTAGGTGGTTTGAACCCACCCAGTGGCTCCATGGGAGAAAGGCCTAGAGATTTCCTTCCATAAAGATTACAGCCAAGAAAATCCTATGGAGAAATTCTACTCTCTCACATGAGATTGCTATGAGTTGAAATAGACTCAACAGAATCCTACAAAGCAACTAATCTTAGGCAAGATGCTTAACTTCTCTGAACCTCAGTTTCCTCCTCTCAAAATGGAGATGAAAATAGCTACCTGGTAGAGTCACAAGATGGTACAAACTGCTAACACATTCAGACATTAAATGAAAGATTGGAGGTTTGAGTCCACCCAGAGATGCCTTGAAAACAAATCCTGGTGATCTACTTCTGAAAAATAAGCTATTGAGAATGTTACAGAGCATAGGTCAACTCTGGTGCACATGGGCTTACCATGAGCAGGAATGGACGTGATGGAAGCTGGTTTTTTTAGGATCATTGTGAAGACGAAAATGTGTGGAGTATCTACCATGGGGATCAAGAGCATAGTGGAATAAAACGAAACCAGACCAATTCCAACTCCTAGTGACACTTTAGGACAGAGTAGAGCTGCCCCATAGGATAGTTGGCATAGTGCCTAAGACATTTGCTGCTAACCAGAAGGCTGGCGGTTCAAACCCACCAGCCACTCCTTGGAAGGAAGATTGCGCAATCTACTTCCGAAGGGAACCACCTCGGAAACCCGAGAAGGGGTCACTATCAGTGGAATCCTACTCTATGGCAGTGAGTTTGTTTTTGTTGTTGTTGTTGTTGTTTTTTAATATATAAGGTTTCCAAGGCTGTAATCTTTACAGAAGCAAACTGCTTCATCTTCTTCCTGTGGAGTGTCTGGTGGATTCAAACTGTCAACCTTTTGGTTAGCAGTCAATGCTTTAAACACTATACCACCAGAATTATCATTATCATCATCATCATCTTTGGATCTTGTAGGGAATGTGGATGTATTGCAGTGTTCCCACTGGAGAGCTGGAAGTGGGATGGGGGCTCTGAGTTTCAGCGCCCAGTCCCGCCCATCCTACTCTAGCCTCCCCATCTGTAAAGAAGCCAGTTTGCAGGGCTGGCTGATTCTGGGCCCTTGCCAGCCTGGGCTTGCCACAATTTTCCTAGCTCAGGGCTCAGGTCTTGGGAGAGGTACTCCTCTTTCAGCCTCTGAGGGGCTCTCTAGACCATCCCTCCTCTGCTGCTGTGATGCTCCGTGTGGTCTCCTAGCAGCCAGATGAGGCACATCCCTGCTTCTTGAGATGAGTCTCTAAGAACTGTTAGTCATTCCCAGTGCTGATGCTGCTGATCATAACAATGGCAGTCATCTCTCCCCTCAACCTCTGCTCTCCAAAGCACCTGTGATCCACTGCTTTGCCTAGTCTTTCCAGAGGTGTGAAGAAGAAACTTTTTATCCTTTTCTCAGAAGAGGAAACTGTGACCTGGGCAAAAGAATGACTTGTCAAAGCATGTTCAGACCTGAGCTCTGCTTTCTGTCTTCAGACAGAAACTGATATCACCTCTTATTATTGACACTTAGAATATCAGAGCTGAAGAATCCTTAGGGATCTAAACACCTACCTAAAGCTCTCCTTGTGCAGGTGGGGAAAATGAAGCATGGAAAGGGGTGTGAACTTCCCTCAGTCCCACAACAGGCTCCACAGTCCTGCTGGCCATGCTCAGTGCCCCAGGAATTCTATAGCTGAAGCCTTCAGGCCTCCCAGAGAGCTCAGCCCCAAGCAGGTCCAATCTCAGGGCAGGGCAGACAACAACTTTTAGTCCCAGCTCTGTGGCTAATTTGTGGAATCCAGTCCACACCCCTTTCTGTGTCTTGGTTTTCCCATATATACAGGGAGAACTTGGTTTAGATGTTTTTATCTCCAAGTGTTCTTCAGCTCTGATATTCTATGTGTCAATAAAATGAGGAAATAAATTGCTCTTGTCTCTAAAGCTAGCCACGTCTCCTCTCCTGACCCTTTCCTTGGGAGTGTGAGTTGCCAGTGCCTACCACCCCCAGGCACATAGGTGAATTTGTCTCCATCCTGGGAGATACCATTTGTATTTTTAGACTCAGGGAGATAGACCCCAAAGATTACCCACAGATTAGTCAGCTCAGTATTAGTCCACTCCATGGTATCATAATCCAAAAAGATGGAACTGCCCTTAGCTGCATTAACAAAACAAATGACCAAAGAAGAGAAGATGATAGGAATGCAGCAGGGGGGGGGGGAGGTGGTGGTGGTGGTGGAATTCCTGTCAGAGCCAAGGTTCATTAAGCCCCTGAAGCCCAGAGTCACCCTCCTGGCCCCCAACCTGGTCACTTTTGCCTTCCATCAGGGCAGCGTCTGAAGACCCACCTGCCATTGTTGCAAGCTTGGTGGCTGGCTCAAAATCTCTTTGCAGATCCTAAAGTTCCTGCACCAGGGTCCTCAGATGCCAAGCTCTCCAGGCCTGGACCCCCTACTTCCACCACAGTCTGCACAGTCATCACTCCAGCTGCTTGTCAGCTTCCAAGATGCCTGGCTCGAGAGTGCCTCATATATGGCTCATTCCCTTCCTGTCCCCTTTAGGGGCCTGAGGAAGCCAGTTGGAAAATTAGATTTGCTCAGACCCCAGGGCTCTGGAGAGCCACGTGGAAAGGAAGGAGGGAGGGAAGAGAAAGGAGAGAGATGGGGGGCCTGGGGGAGAAAATGTTTTCAGCACTTGGGACAGCTCCAGACCTGACTGAGGTTCCCAGGAGAAAGGAGGGGTGGGCAAACTAAAGATACCCACCTCATTGAACATCGACTTTGTACCAAGCCCTGTGCTGGGCACTAATCATACCTTGGATACTTGGGGCCAAAAACAATCACTGCTGCTGTTAGGTGCCATTGAGTTGGCTCCGACTCATAGTGACCCCACCTACAACAAACTGCCTGATCATGCACTATCCCCACAACCCTTGCTATTCCTGAGCCCATCATTGCAGCCACTGTGTTAATCCATTTTGTTAAGGGCCTTCCATTTTTTCGCTGACACTTCACTTTACCAACCATGATATCCTTCTCCAGAGA